CTTGCACATGTTGTGGGTTCGTAATCCAGGTACAATTGTCGAACTGCAACGAGATGACGAGGTATTCAAACAATTGTTCTTTGCTCTAGGAGCTAGCATTGAGGGCTTTCAACGAGCGGGTGTCCCGGTGATTGTGATAGATGGTATGCACTTGAAGGGAAAATACAAGGGCATTATGTTTGTTGGAGCCACATTGGTCAGGAATCACCAAATCTTTCCCCTTGCAATAGGCATTGGTGATCTAGAGTGTCGTAAGACTTGGAGATGGTTTTTGAATCAATTGAAAACGGCCTATGGTTGTCCTGATAATCTCCTCATCGTAGCGGATAGACATGAGTCTATCATAAATTATGTCCCAATAGTGTTCTCCGAGGCGCATTATTCATTTTGCTATTATTACATCACAGAACAAATGAGGCCTTTTAGGAAATCTGTCTGGACATATTTTTACAAGGCGGCATATTGTTATCAGCGTGAAAACTTCTTTCGTTACATGTCATCCATCCAAAGCCTAAAACCCAAAGCATTTTAACAAGCTAACTAATGAAAATTTCGGTCAATGCTTGGGCGAGGTGTTTTACATCTGTACGACGTTATGGATTTATGACATCCAATTCCTGCGAAAGTTTGAACAACAAACTCATATGGGCCAAGATGTTACCCATTTGCTCGTTGTTGGATTTTGTTCGGGCAACGATACAAAAATGGTTTGTTGTTCGGCGTGCATCCGCTGAGGGGCGCAATCATCCGCTAACGCAGTGGACTCAATATCGTAAAGGTCGTACTCTACCCATTACCACACTCGGCATGCAATGTTATAACTGTTAGAGTAGTATACCCGGCGTTCCAATCAGATTGGACGTATTCTTCTTGAAAATACAATCTATTGGAATTATATTAATTAAAAGGCATTACTTTATCTTAAGAGTAAGCATTTATCATATAATTGCACTTAAGATAAAATCCTTAGATCACTTATGGTTATAAGATATGGTTGCACATAGAGATGGTAATCATGGAACATATCTTGAAAGTCGTGATCTTAAACAAAGTTCCAATTCGATGGATGTTTCGAGATGGGATATCGAATA